CGTGGATTCCATCGCGGACGTCGTACGCCAGGAGATCCAGCAATCGCTGGGCGTTCCTAAGCCTCTAGAGCCGCAGCTGCAAGTCATGAGCTATGCTGATGCAGCCCGCTGCCACGCCCCTCCTCCACGCGCACGCCAAAATGCCGCCCCATCGCACTTCCGTCGCCAGACGCAACCGCAATATTTAGTCTCACTTTAGCTTAGCCTTTCAGCAATATATCCTCCGGAGCCGGTGTTCCGAGCCAGAATAGGTCCAACATGCTATCAGATATTTGAACATATATCAATGAAATCGCGCGGCTGCAGATCAGAAAACATAATGACAATTGATAAACAAAACGTATATTAGAGATTTTAGCGTCCCTCTGAATGTACAATGAATCACATTGGCGAATAAAAAATCATAGGCTATATTTATTAACAGGAAGCCATATAACATACGGTAAACAGTAATGATGAAAGCCTGTTTTCCAGCTTGAGAAGTGTAAACAAATTGCAGTACAAGTGTAAAGCCATGTAAACGGGAATCAGTCCAGTGGAACACATAAATCTTGGATGATATGTGCAAGTTGCAGGACATCCTCTTCTGCTGTTGCATAGGATGTCATCGTACTGATTTTCGCAGCCACGTCAGCTGCCAGGCTATAATCGTGGCTCTTTTTTGTGTGTCTCTGAAGGCCATATTGCATTTTCAGTAACGCTTTCAGAGTGTCAATGTCCAGTCCGAATTGCGACGCCTGCACTTCACATTGCCCCTGTCGCTAAAGCACTGTTCAATATCAGCATTCGAGAAGGGCGCGGCAGCACTGTCATGGCGAGCATGGCGAGCTCGGTAAATAGGTTCTCGCCTTGCGCATACGTCTAAGAACCTACTTCCTGCCAAGATCTATCAGTTCTGTTTGTACAGCACCATTTTACGTGCCGCGAGATTTTCCATTGCGTTTCGCAAGCGAACACGGCTTCCACGGGGAGGAACTGCGATGCCGATTCCATAATTGGCTCTTGTATTAGCTTCAGTGCGTGCTCTACAGAAAGAAGAGAAGTCTTACTCAAGCACTGATTGTTTTCGCGAAGCCGTTAACCCAGCTCCTTAAATAGTTCTCCGATGAAACGTGGACAGCGAAGGCGTAGCTCTTTTTCATCGTCACGTGGTGCGCATGCGTCTCGGAGTGCTGTTTCAAACTAGTGACCAAAGTACGAATTAGGATCAAGATGCTCGTTGATAATGACTGTTAACACGTCGTATACTGGAAAGTCGGTAGAGATACTTTGTTGGCTGTCGACTTCACAAGCTTCATCAGATTTTCGAACAATTTCTTCGGGTCTAGGTTTTCCGCTTGATATGATTTGTTGACACGCGGCACTTCAGTTGAAACCCAGTCCAGCAGGAGTACATAGTATTTTTTGGGGGGTCACTGTACATTTCTTAGAGCATCGTTGACGTGTAGCAATTTTCGTTTTCCCGGGCATTTTCAAGAACTTCCTTCAGTTTGGTCCACTGTGCGAGTATTCTGTTAACTGCCGCATATATTGACAAGCAGCGTGCCTCACTGGCTAGCGGTATGGTAAGCGGAGCCTCTCCGTCGTTTAGTTCCTTGTATAAGCTTCGATACGCCCAGTTTTCTTGTCGAGGAGTGAGCAAACCATCGGTATGACTCCCTCACGAGAAATTATGTTTCTTGGCAAGGTAACCGACGCATGTGAAACAAACAAGTTGACTGGATTGACAAACATATCGCACCATAAAGATGAGGAATTTCATTTCTCAGACGTGTATAGGCTCCACTATTGACACCAGTCATGACGTTCGCATAGTATACTGCTATGCCAACATGTTTTTTTTTGCGTTCAGACCCTTGCACCGCAATCTTTCCAAAAGCGCTGAGGCGATGTTTTCAGCGTCGCACTTTTCAAGCTCTTGCAGGGTACAAAAACTTGAAAAAACCTCACCGTTTGACTGGGAAAACACCTGATGGCGATGCCAAGGACCTTTAGGACACTGATATCGGTTGACTCGTCAAACAGAACGCTGTAATTTTGCTGGTCAATACCGTCCCGCAACAATTTTTCGAAGTGCTCTCCAAGGACGTTCTTTATTATATTAGTGCACTTTGTGCCGTGAATCTTGATCTTAGAGGCAACCTGGCTATCTTGAAAAATCCGCTTGCAAACTTCTCTGAGGTGACGCATGGTCATCAGGGCACAGTGCTCAGCGACAAAAAGTGCAAAGGTTGCTTCAGTCTGCTGTACAGGGTTAGCAATTACAGAAGGCATGGCATCGGATATAGTGCGCTGGTGTAGTCCCTTCCTTTGCACACAACCACGTGTTTTGCAGACGTAGTATGCTTCTAAATGCTGGCCTTTGTTTGCCTCGACAGAACATTGCAAAATTTGCAAAAAGGCCATGAAGGGGTTCTGTGGCATTGCCATTAGCCACTCCTTGTACTCTACCTCTGTAAGCCAGCAGTGTCATAAGTGTTGTTTGTACAGTTTGCTCTTGTCTGTCAAGTTGTACGAGTTTCTATAACACAACCTTTAAAGGGTATGCACGCCGCATACTCACAAAAAAATGTTGAGTGTCACAAAAAAGTGCTTGACTCGGCGCGCGCCACCACTTGCAGAAGACGGCATAAAACCCCAGCGACTAATTTCCCCAGTGCAGCGAAAAATCAACCATCAAAGCCGCGAGGCAGTGCCAAGCGCCGATCAGTCGTATGCGAACAGTCAGCAGAGACACCCCCTCGCCCTTGAAGCGCCTTCGCGTCACGATTTTAGAGAACCACCGAACGATCACAAGAGCAAACATCACGTGACGCCGAGAAATCCAGCCATGGTTGGAAGGTGCCAGGAGGAGACTTGGAGGTCACAATCGCATGAAAACACTTCATGAACAAAATCTCAAAACTTCCAGATAGAAGCGAGATTTGAAAATGTCATGTATAGCATACTGTTATCTGGTGTTAGAGTGTTCATAGGACATGGATGTATAGTTTTGGTCTCCAAACACAAAGGAGCAAGGGCACCCTTAACTCGAAACGACCGCTACACCGACGCGGTCGACAGCGCCGAGGCCAAGTGGCTGAGGCGCACACATCTAGGCATATGTCACAATGGTGCAACTAGAAATTGTCATTACAATGCAGCTAGACTTAACTGAAATAGCCACATTTGGAGCTAGATTCTGACTAAATACCTACAATAGCTACTCGTAGCTAAACAAAAAATTTGATTAGCTAGTTGAGTCTAAAACTAGCTAGATGTGGCTCCAAAATAGCTAAATGAGCAACACTGGCCTTTAGAGATGCCCAGCCAGCGAACGGCCGAGAGTGAGGAGCGAGGGAACGGGAGAGTGGGGGGTCAGCGTTTTCGACTCAGCGCTGATGGCTCACAGCGGTGTCACCACGACCGCATATTCCCCGATGTACTTGATAGGTGCCCAGCCAGTGAACGGCCGTCAGTGAGGTTCGAGTGGACGGGAGAGTGGGGCGCGGGGAGGAGATAGAGGGAATGGTGACAAAAGGAGTGACGAACTGCATCTACCCTCTCCAACACTCTCGCACACCACATGCTCCAGTTGCCAGATGTTGAGGATAAACGCGTGCACCCGCAGCTGTTGCAATGAGAGATGGAGTGAGAGCGGAGAGATAACACCTGCGGGTGCGTGGGCTTTGCCGCCAGATCCCTGCCATAGCCCGACTAAGATACGTTCGCATTTAAAACAAACATCAATGGAATCCACGAACGCGCTGCGTATTCCCTTTGAAAGCATTGTCGGTAAACTGATAACCTTCTCGTACCTATCGCCGAGCGGAACCCAGAAACATAGAGAAGGAAAGCGTGAGTCACTCTCTTGTTGCGCCACATGTCGCAGAGAGTTGTTGAAGTCTCACCCCTTGCGCAGCTTTGCTGTGCAGCACGCCGACGAAGCTACCCGAAATCAGGGTGGACGTATACAAGGGAGCAGCGGATAACAGTGATCAGCAGATGTAGAGAGTTTTTCCGCCGTCGGGCAAACGCTAATGGCTTCAGTTACTAAGCAGGAGATAAAGAGGTTTCCCACCTGTGGGCGAAGGCTTGCGCTACAAGCAGAAGACAGGTGTGTGTTTACCGCCAATGCGTGAACACTCTGCAGTCGCAGCGCATGAGTGGCCGACGTGTTACCGATAAAGAAGTTTTCTTGTTGGAGTGCGGACATTTGACGAAGTGAGGTACCCGAAAGGAGACATCGGGAGCAACGGAACGGCAATCAGCGTTGGACTTCGAGTAAGGGGCTTCACGAAGAAATCATTCAAAAGTTTTTCTAAGAGCTTCGGACTTAATAAGTTTCATGAACTTTTTCAGTCTTTAATTCTCTTGATTAGTGCCTGAAATTGCAATGTAGCACGTGTTGTTGTTTGTGCCCCTTGTTCTGTCTATATATTGCTGTGTGTGTACTCGTCGTTTGCAGTACCTTGTGATTGGAGACGTATTGTATTGAATTATTGCCGAGTGTGCATATTGCTGTGTTGTTTGATCTGCCGCATTTCAGAATATATTTTTGTTTTGTTATCAACTCTCGGCTCTTACTCGTTCTTTGGACTACAGCCGGAATTCGATGGCTTCCAAATATGGCCAAATTTAAATTGTCTGTGCTTTCGTGGTGCAGTTCGCAGGGCTGATACGTCGGCCCTTGTCATTAGCCCGGGGATCTTCTCCCTAATTTACGGGTTCAGGGAATGCTAAATGTATTGAAAATTGTTCACTGACTACTTTACAGAGAATAGACCTTTTGTTCTAATATATCTTCACTGTGGAGTTTAATTTTTTCTAGATAATTGGTGGCATACACATGCAATTTTTAAACATCCACTGCCGAGAGGACTTCTGACAATCAGGCACCTGACATCTTTTTGGAGCGATTTGAAATTGTGCGAGTGTGCGAGTTAATTATTGCGATGAAAGAAAAGAGCGTCAAAATGCTTTTATGCTTCGAATATTTTTCATGGCATATGTATACTTACTTTGCAGCCATCGAAGAGCGCTGTGAATGTGAATGCCGGGTTGACGTCCCCTTCTGGAGCACGCAGTTCCAGGTCATTGTGTGCCATGAGACGGATAGAACGGCGGTGCGTCTGCTTGATTGAATCCAGGAAGGCCACGGAATTTCGGCAGTGGTACGTGATGTTTTGTACTGCCCTTGAACTCAACAATTGTAGGAACGTCAGCTGTATGCGGTCAATCTTGTACCGTATCTGCAAAAAGAAAAAGTAAAAAATGCATTTAGCGATTGTTGCATTTTTCAACTGTATAAAAACGTTAATGCCAAATTTAATAAATCTTGACAGTGCTCCAAACTTATCAGAAATATGGATGCTATTTGTTTCAAATCATTGAATTCATTCAGCTTTTTTTTAAATACAATATTACCTAGTGAAGTATTACATTCGGACGTCCCGTAGTTTAGGAAATGACGGGGTACCTCCTAATACTAAAACATATGTATGTTAGCTGTCGTGGGCAATGTGAGAAAAATACATGTGCTTATTTTGGAAGAAAGCTATAAAAGCTACACAAAAAATCTAAGCAAGAGATGAAGGATTGATTGATATGTGGGGTTTAACGTCCCAAAACCACTCTATGATTATGAGAGACGCCGTAGTGGAGGGCTCTGGAAATTTAGACCGCCTGGGGTTCTTTAACGTGCACCCAAATCTGAGCACACGGGCCTACAACATTTCCGCCTCCATCGGAAATGCAGCCGCCGAAGCCGGGATTCGAACCCGCGCCCTGCGGGTCAGCAGCCGAGTACCTTAGCCACTAGACCACCGCGGTGGGGCAAGAGATGAAGGAAAAAGAAAGCAAGAAACAATAAAAATCTGGCATGGTAAATAAATTTATGAACTGTACCAGAAGCTAAAAAACCAAAACACAAATTTATACTGACAATCCTCATCACACAGACATCACAAATTCATCAAAGCAAAGTGAACACATTAGAATTTACCAGAACAGCCGTATATAAAAGATTGAATACCAAACATTATGAAACAATTGCTGCTACGAAAACAAAAGAAGAATTATTCATGAAAAGAAATGAAGTATTCAATGATATTGATAAAAAATCAGGCATGCGCGATATTAAAAAACAAAGAAACCGTAATAAAAAGAAATAAAATTGGAATATCCCGAAGTTAGCTAGCCAGCTCACGCAATTCTTCGAGACACTATATTTTGTAAATTCTTTGAAATGGTTGTAGAGGTGACGCTGATTTAATTTCTTATTGTATCAAATTCCAAACGGATATCCCAGAAAAAAATTTTCGGCAGATCCCACGTACCTGGGAACCGACGTTATGCGAAGCATGCGGAGGGAAGGTGACTGGGTTGCAATTTTTTTATTGAGCGACACGTCATAAAATGACGTAATATATGTACAAATGTTACACTTACAGACATATGTTAAAAGTTGCAGATGTTTACATAATCAATTGTTTGCACTTTCGCAACGATGCCAACTAGAACATGCGTATTAGCAGCACCAGAAGCTGATATGAAGCGCTGATGCTCGCCAGGATGCTAGCCGTGGACGCTGCTACATAAATCAACTTGAGCGCATGGCAACTAACCACAATTGACGTTAACAAGGCGGGACGGTTGTATCAGAAGAGTACATATGTAATGATTATTAAATTGGGTAGGCAGCACTGCAACCACTATTGACGTTTCACGAAGATTAGCGTGCATTTGAAAAGAGGTTCCGAGACATGGCCTAGCTTTGTCGTAAGATGCTTCACTGCCATGCACAAGGCTTGGGTTCAATTCCAGGTTGGACCCTGGCATTTATTCTTTGCATTCGTCGGCCGATGATGCAGCCCGCTCAGCCCATGAAGAAACCCGTGTAGTCCCGATTCCTCTATCAAGGAATGATGCAGCAAGACAACTTTACTTGCTGGCTCGAGATCTCACACGCACGTTCTGGTCGTCTACCAGCTTCCAAAGGTGTCAATTTTATGAACTGGATCCTTCGCTCAAGCTAAAGCTACCATCACAACTTTCCCGCTCCGATGCGACACTGTTATGCCGCCTTTGGTTGGGTGTTGCATTCACAAAGGTGTACTCCTTTCGCATTGGTATGGCAGACGCTCCTACATGCGACTACTGCGGAGATGAAGAGACCATCGAACACGTCCTGTGCAGCTGCGCTTGCTACGACACACAGCGATGCCAGCTACGGATGGTTTTGAATCGACTTGACCCCGGACCATTTTGTGTGCAGAAGATACTAGGACCTTGGGCATCTGCCTCAGTTGCGCAGAAAGCAACTAAAGCACTGCTACTTTACCTTAAGTCAACAAACCTGAGCGACCGCCTGTAAACTGTGTGTGCTCCCCAAGTGTGCTCGTGATTGGGTGTACCTTCTCATCTTTCTGCAACCTCTTTTCTCCCCTTTATCCCTTCCCCAGTGCAGGGTAGCAAACCGGATGTGCGTCTGGTTAACCTCCCTGCCTTTCCTTGTATCTTTATCTCTCTCTCTCGTCGGCTCGATGCTACCAATGTTGGGTATTTCTTAACGCTCGCGCGTTAAAATGGCCCTTGTGTGTTTTCGTCGTTCCTTAGTATACATACGAAGTGTCAACCACCTGTGGCACATAACCGCATAGCAGCGGCACATACCCACCCGTGGGTATGTTCCACTGTCTGGCGGTAAGTGATAGGCGATGTACGCGACGGGATGGTGACATTATTATTGTCTTGACTAGCGCGTCATTTTCGTCAAACCATCTAACCCTCCAATGGAATTTTTCGTTCATGCCAAGTTAAAGGTTTGCCCACGAGATCACCCAAACGTAAGCGGCTAGGTAGATAGATAGATAGATAGATAGATAGATAGACAGACAGATAGATAGATAGATAGATAGATAGATAGATAGATAGATAGATAGATAGATAGATAGATAGATAGATAGATACTCTCAAAGGCGCTGAAGTTCGCTAAAAATGCTTGGCATTTATTAAGGGCTATTAGTTTTCCCTAGTTTTCCCGAGCGACGGGGAAAAGTAGATTGCCGTTAAAAGAGAACCTTGTGATGTTACTGTTTTACAAGAAATTTATTTACTAGAAATTCAATTGAGTAAGCCGGAATGGAGGTGTCACATCGCTTTAGCCAAAAAATAAAGATATTGTTTGTTTAAATAGCTCTGTTTGTGATAAGCTTTCTAGGTTTTGTTATAGTGGTATACAGGGCGTAAAGCCATTACTGATGTTCATCTGTCCTACAGCTTGGTTTTGGAGGCATTGAAAATAACCGAGGTAAAAAAATTAGGTTTTAGCCATAGATGATACACAGTAAGATGTCTATGATTGTAAGAAGGGTAAAGAGAACGAATAATGAACGTTTCGACATAGTTATGTGATTTCACGATCAAATGCGTGCCGAAAGAAACTTTATGCATTTGTGAATGAAAATTTAAAAAATTAGGTGCTCATCTAATGTCACACCCAGAACCCTGGCGTTGTTAGTACCGGGTATGACATTGTCCACCATCGTGAGCACCACGGGTGGCCCTTTTAGTAATGGAGAATCACAAACGTAGTTTTAGTGGGGTTGATGTGCAGGCAGTTACCACTGCACCAATCAATGACATTTTCAAGTGATTATTTTGCTTTTTTAAAAGTACGGGGATGATTTTATGAGATGAATATATTGATATATAACAAGCAGTCAGTGTGGCGAAGTGTCAGGGGCAAATCATTCAGGAATAATAAATAGAGCAGTGAGCCTGAAATAGATCCTTGGTGCACTACTATTCTAGTAACCTTGGAAGAGGTAATTTTACCGTCGATTTCTACAACTTGCGACCTGTTTTTAGGTAGATCTTGATACGGCGCAAAGCTGGACCTGTGATGCCATAAGATGTGAGCTCGTGAAAAAGAATAGAGTGTATAATTGTGCCAAAACTTTAGTAAGATCAACAAAGACTGCAGCAAATGGTGAACCTTCGTCAATGGCTAGTTTGATTTTGTCCGTGAAACTAATGAGCACCAAATCAGATGAGAAACCTGGACGAATACCAAGCTGATGAGGAGAGAGCAAGTCAATTTTTATTTTCAAGTATAACATCAGGCGTCTGTAAAAAATCTTCTCGATTACTAAAAAATGAAAAAAAAATGCAAATCGAATGGTAATGTTCATACATTCACGATCGCCTTTCTTGAAAACGAGAGATATCTTGCCGTTTTGTAAGAAGATTGGAAAAGTACCATTCTTGAATATTTTGTTTTTAATGTCAGCAAGAGCAGGAAAAACACTGTCGTTTATAAGCTCAAGTCGTCAAGGGTGAACTTAATCTGAACCAGCTCCAGCTGTTTTTAACGATGATATGACAGAGTGATATTCAGCGCTAGAAGTAAGATATAAGTAAAATAAATGTGGAAAGCGCAATGAGCGGAAAAGTAATAGTCTGTGTTCAATGATTTTAACTGCTGCAAAAAGGGCAACTAAAGCATTGACAATGTCAATTGGCTCAGCAAATGTGCTGGATGCAGTATTATTTTTGTTAAATTCGCATTAGAACCAGTTTTGTTTAGAAGATATTTTGTAAGCTACCAGGTCTGTTTAGTATGAGGTCCGTGAAACAATATGCGTTTTTGAAAATAGTCACGTTTAGCACGTTTCGAAATAGCAACAAGTGCATTCGAATATTTTTTGTAGAAAATTTGTAGCACTGAGCTAAATAGTTTGGACTTGAGCTTCTCATGCATTTTATCTTTTCTTGAAATTGAGCGCAATGGGACGTTAGTGATTCATGGGTTTCTCCCTCTCACAACAAATAGGTACATGCGATGTGCTCTGTGTTATGCAGTTTGTTATTAGAGGAGAAAATGACTCGTAGGCTTGCTTAGGAGATTCATTTGTGTGATATCAGATTGTTATAGTTTGTTAATCAATGGAACGTATGTTTCTGCGTTAAACACCGCTTTCTTGACTTGTTTATGATTTGTGAAACCGGCCATGAAAGCGAATCCTATTCTGACAAAAAAACATAATAATGGTCGCTGAACTGACAGTCTACCCCAAGTGCAAAGGCACTCGTTTTCAAACTGGAACAAATGTAACCACTCCTTGCATTTGTAAGTGATGAATCGCACCTAGTAGGCGCTGTGATTAACGATAAGGAGCCAAAGTTTTGAAAAACGTGCACATAGTTCAAACATGAATAACTGTTAAGGTCAGATATGTTACTGTTATTG